ATAAAAATAATAAAATAATGCATTAATAAAATAAAGATATTAAATATATCGAAAGAATAAATAAATTAAAAATAAACCCAAGAAAAAAAATAATAAAAAGCAAACCAATAATAAAATAACAATAAGAAAATCAAAATAATAGAAATCAAAATAATAATAATAGAAATCAAAATAAAGAGGTCATTTGATGAGAAGCTCAACAAGCCCCAGCAATGTGTGCCCGAAGAAGCCCCCCCAGACAGACACTGGGGAGGGAGATCAGGAGAAGAAGGACCTGGAGCTGTGGGGGACTGGGTTCCACACCCCCTTTCCGTGGAGCCTGACAAACGGCGCTCACCAGCTGGGGAAGATTTACTCACAAAAAGGGTTTTTTTCACAGAAAAGTACCCCATCGGTGGCGACTCTCTGCTCCTAGCCCCGCTGTCCCAGTTAGAAGCCCGCTGGGACTGGGAAGGTCCTGAAGACACCAGTGCCCATAGAATGGAAAATAATTACATTTCCCCCCCCAACAGTAATAAAACCAGAAATACTGCTAGATATGGAAATGGAAATAATGATAAAAATAATAAAATAATGAATTAATAAAATAAAGATATTAAATATATCAAAAGAATAAATCAGGAGAAGAAGGACCTGGAGCTGTGGGGGACTGGGTTCCACACCCCCTTTCCGTGGAGCCTGACAAACGGCGCTCACCAGCTGGGGAAGATTTACTCACAAAAAGGGTTTTTTTCACAGAAAAGTACCCCATCGGTGGCGACTCTCTGCTCCTAGCCCCGCTGTCCCAGTTAGAAGTATTAAATATATCAAAAGAATAAATAAATTTAAAATAAAACCCAAGAAAAAAAATAATAAAAAGCACAACAATAATAAAATAACAAAAAATCAAAATAATAAAATAAGACTAGAAATCAAAATAATAATAATAGAAATCAAAATAATAATAATAATAGAAATCAAAATAAAGAGGTCATTTCATGAAAAGCTCAACACACCCCGGCAACATGTGCCCGCAGCCCAGAAGCCCCCCCAGACAGACACTGGGGAGGGAGGTCAGGCCCAAGAAGGACCTGGAGCTGTGGGGGACTCAGTTCCCCATCCCCTTTCAGTGGAGCCTGACATACAGCGCTCAGCAGCTGGGGAAGATTGTTTTTTTCACAGAAAAGTACCCCATCGGTGGCGACTCTCTGCTCCTAGCCCCGCTGTCCCAGTTAGAAGCCCGCTGGGACTGGGAAGGTCCTGAAGACACCAGTGCCCATAGAATGGGTTGGGTTGGAAGGGACCTTGAAGATCATCCAGTTCCAACCCCCCCTGGCCAAGACACTCAGGTTCCCCACTTGGGGGGATGTGTCACAAAAATACAAGTCCTACACCATCCTTGCTGGGACTGGATTTGGGCTCAACTTCTCCACATCCCGTGACAATTCTGCTCTTCGGTATCAAACCCAGGAACATCTCCCCTGGGTTCAAGGTGCCACCTCCTACGCCCAGATGACTCTAACTCCTCCTGGCTGCTCAGCCCCAGCCCCTCATGGTGCCCCACGTCTCTAGGAGCTGCTTCTCCTTCCTTCCACGTGCCAGGTCCCTCCCGTCACCTCCTGTGGCTCCTCCAGCATCTCAGTGCAGTTTTTAAACAAAAGAGCTCTCAAGGTGTCACCTTAATGGTAGCGAGGGCAACTAATGACTTCACAGCCAAAAGGAACACCTTCCTCCCAGCTCCCTGCCTCATCCGAGGTGAAACAGACCCAATGGAGACCTGACAGATGAGGGCACACACCTTGCTTTGATCTCACCAATGGCAAACCAGCCCCTGGTAGAATATGCACCAATGAGGGGGATGCCATCAACTGCTGTTGGTGTCATCGTTAGCCCTGGTGATCTAATTAACGCGATACGAAACACGACAGCCCGGCTTGAACAGAATATTTAACTCCAGGGGGGTTATTTTAGAGGGGTTGGGGTTTCCCGGAGCGGAGGAGCCCCAGGAGAAGCTGGGCTTCCCATGGACACCTCGGGAGTAGCTGCAGGATGGGGGGTCCCAATGACCTCACATGGATCCAGCCATCCATTCACTGATTTGATTTGAAATAACAGGGGGGACAACCCGCAGATCTGACACTCCAACTTGCTGCTAATGAAGCAATTAGTGGGCTATGGGCTGACATGGCTCTTCCACGGGTTCATCCCTCTCCCTTGAGGGACCTGAAGGGGTTTATCCCTCTCCTTGAAGAACCTGAAGGGGTTTATCCCTCTCCCTTGAGGAACTGTGGTTTGTCCAGGGAGAGGGTAAAGCTCTGGAGCAACAACACCCAGTTTCAACCAGTAAACCTCTCTGGTGGAGTGGAAATCCTCTGGTGATGCTCTCCACTGGTGACCAGAGCGTGAAGAACAGGAGCTGTGGGGCAGCAGCAGCACGTTAGTAGGGGATTGCAGGAGAGCTGTGACCAACCAGGGTGGGAGAGGCCCAGGGTGAGAGGTAGGAGCATGCCAAAGGCGTCTGACACTCCAGCAGCCGGGGTTAATTGGGAAGCAGCAGCAGAGAAGCTGAATTAGGAGCAGAGGGAAGAAGGAGGCGGCGCAGTCGTGCCCTACGGGGCAGCTCAGCTCGGTGGCATCGCCACCCCAGTGAGGGGGGGGACAAAACCCCTCTCTCTGCACACTCAGGGTAAAGGATTAATGAGTTTCCAGATTCTTGGCAGTTTAAAAACGGGTGTTTGCTGACATACAGCCCACAGTGAGTGGGATGGGGGGGTCTGCTGCTGCCCGGCACCCCCAGGGGCAGGACACGGTGACAGTGAGGGGACCTCGGGCTCAGCCAGCAAGGTCAGTGGCCAACCACCTCCGGGACACTTGTGGGGTTCAGATTTGGGCAGACTCGATGGTTTTAGTCACTTTAAGCTGCACTAAGCACCCTGAGCAATTACTTCCAGCTTTTTCTAGAGTCCTCGATGCATTGGCATAAAAAATGTGCTATGGAAACCTCTGCCCAGGCTGGAGCTCTCCAGGCTCCAGTGCCCGGGTCCAGAAGCCCCCCCAGGAGCTTTTTCTGCCTTGGTTGCATTTTCAGCCCTCCCTGAGCCAGGTAACACTTTAAACACAGCTTTAAAATCTGAGCTTTAGAAATCTGAGCTTTAAAATCTCCTGGCCACATCCATTCAGGGTGTTTCCAAACTGTCCCCCTGCTCGAGGTTCTCCCACCCCACACTGGGTGCTGCCAAACTGCAGGGTCAAGAAGAGCTGGATCTTCAAATACAGGGTCAGCCCCAGTATAAATAGGAAAAAAAAAAACCCATCTTAGTATAAATAGGAAAAAAAAATCCCCATTAACCACTCACTGCTGACCTTGGGGTGCTGTTTCTACAACAGGAAAGCTTTCATGGGGGAAGAAAGCCCCACATGAGGGTGACAGAGGTCTCCACCCTGGAAATAAGCTTTTAGCACAAGAATAACACCAGTATAACACCAGTACAACACCAGTATAACACCAGCAGTGCCCTGGGGGGGGCTGTGAGAAGAAACCCAGGGTGCAGCCTGACCCTTGCAGCTCGGACGACGGCTCCAGAGGATGCCCCAGAGAAAAACCCCATCCCCGTTTGGCCAGAGCAGCCCCCACCAGAGCTGGGAGGGCTGGAGGGGGGTCCCAGGAGCACCCCCAGCAGCGAGGAGATGCTGATACACACCTGCACGGGCCGCACCAGTCCGTTTGTTGGTTGAGGCCAAAGCGAGCTCTGCATTTCTTAGGAGAGGCAGGATCTGAAGACAGAAGCATGCGCGGCGGAGAGCGGGCAAGGCAGAGGCACAAAGAGGAGGAGGAGCAGGAGGAGGAAGAAAAGAGGCAACATCATTTCAGCCACTTGAACACACGGCTAACAGAACTACAATCCCGTTTTGGGGTTGGTTTTCTTTATTTTTTCTCTCTGGCACCACCTCTCCTGGAAACAAGTGATCATTAGGCCAATATCAGTGATCAGTGCTGGCAGCTGGGGAAGGAGGAGGCTTGGGGAAATGGCCTCAGCTGTGGGAAATAGGGGGAAATGCACAGGTTTTTCAATTATCTTAGCTTTGGAAAAAGCTGCTAAATGCCAGAGGTGCTGCCTGCCCCCTCTGTCTGCATCCTTACCTGCTCCCTGCCTGTCCTGGGGCTGCGCACGGAAAAGAAGAGGAGGAAACGTGGCAGAAGCAGAGGCTGAAAAGCAGAGTTAGCACCGAGGAGACCCTGGCCCGGGTTATCCTGCCCTGCTCCCCCCCATTCCCCTTCCAGCATCCATGGAAAAGCTGCTCTCCCCAGCTTTTCCTAAAATATTGGAGTTTTGCTGTGTAATTCCAGACTCCCCAGGGTGAACCCTGTTTGCCTTCATGCACATCATGGGTTTTTTCTTTCTAGGGCTACAAATGGGATGTGAAGTTATGCGCATGGAAAAACCTAATATTTTCAATTTTCACATGCTACCCAGGTAATAATTCAAACACGTCTATGAAAAAGTCACAGAAATGTTAATTTACCACATCTTGAAAAAAAAAAAAAAAAGCGTTTCTTTCATTAGGCTTAAGAGAATAAAAGAAAACACGGTAAAACATGACAACTGCTTGGGATTATCTCCTCTGAGCAGAAAGGGAGGGACAGGACCGAGCCGCACGCATGTTAGGCTTAAGAGAATAAAAGAAAACATGGTAAAACACAACAACTGCTTGGGATTATCTCCTCTGAGCAGAAAGGGAGGGACAGGACCGAGCCGCACGCACTGACCTGAGTTGGAATCTTGCTGCTTTTCCCGTGTTCGTCTCTTCTTTTTCCCCTGGGGAACCAAAGCAGAGGCTGTTAGTCCCTGTCCTCAGGAGACCGCAGGGGCTGCGCAGGGTTTTGGGGGGGCTGGATGGGGCCAGGTCCTCAGCTGGAGCAGCCATGGTGCCACCAGTTCCGCACGTTCTGGGGCGAGCTGAACTGGGAATCACTGCAAGGGCACCCACTGGGGTTTATCTACGTGGACATCCCTTTCCTCTGCCCCGTCCAGTGCTCCAGAAAAGGAACCCAGGAGGAATTCTCAAAGCTGCCACCCGTTGTGTCCATGCACACCCAACAGCTGCCTCTGACACGGCACAGATGTGTCCTGGGCACCCACCTTTGCTCAGGAGCAGCCCCTCATTCCCAGTGTTTCCACACCCCCCCAGCACACCAAAACCACCCGGCACGAGATCCACACCTACGGAATCACAGAATGATGGGGGTTGGAAGGGACCTCTGGAGATCACCCACTCCAACCCCCTGCCAGAGCAGGGTCACCCAGAGCAGGTTGCACAGGAACGTGTCCAGAACGTCTCCAGAGACCCCACCACCTCCCTGGGCAGCCTCTTCCAGGGCTCTGCCACCCTCAAAGCAAACAAGTTCCTCCTCATGTTTAGATGGAACTTCCTACGTTCAAGTTTGTGCCCGTTTCCTCTTGTCCTGTCCCTGGGCACCACTGAAAAAAGACCGGACCCATCCTCCTGACACCCACCCTTTGAGTATTGATCAGCAACAGAAACTCCAAGGAGACAGTGACCGTGTCCCTGTCACCACCCCCAGCATCTGCTCCGTCTTCTTCCCAACACGCTGCTCCCTGGCTCTCAGCAACAGAAGCTCCAAGGAGACAGCGACCGTGTCCCTGTCACCACCCCCAGGACCTGCTCCATCTTCTTCCCAACACGCTGCTCCCTGGCTCTGCTTTAGGAGCCCACAAACAGGCTACAAAAGCAGCCGAGACCCTGATTTACACCACAAACTGCTTGAGAAGGTGCTGGAGACAACGTTAGAGGATGCAGAACAACTCTAATACAGCCTTTGCCTCTGCTCAGCGCCTCCACCAACTCCTGCCAGTCCTCCACCGCCCGCCCTGATGGGTCTCACCAGGGAATCCCACCCCTCACAGCTCTAATTAACTAATTAATAGATAATTTAATTAATAGATTTAACTAGATCAATGGAATTAACCACAATTAACCACACACGACAGAGGGACTCTGATCAACAGCTGACCGCCCCCCCGCATATTCTTATTCCTCCTCCCTCTTTATGTTTCCAAAAAGCAGTTGGACCATTTTAGCACCTTCCTTACTTCCAAACGTCTTGGAAGGTAGTGCCTTATACCCAAACAGAAATTGCTTCACAACAGGTTACCAGGAGGAGCATCCTGGCAGCACTTAGCATTCCTAAACAGGAAGTTTTAGGAAATCCACATAAATTAATTTAAAAATAATGATTATCCATAATCTTCTCTGTGTCAATGCTTTTGCAGCTCTGGGCCCATCTCTCATTCTTCTGTTTCCTTCCCTCACTGAGAAGCAAACTCAGTTCTGTCCCCAAACTGCCTCTTCTGACTCATGATATGCACCGACTCCCCTCACCTCCTAATGAGCTCATTAACGAGGGCGCAGCGGGGCGGGAGCAAATCTGGCCTGCCTGGAGCAGGGCTGCCTTCGACCCGTGACTTTTTCTATGACTTCTTGTGGTTTGAGTGAAGGTGGAAGGCTCCGAGCTGCGGTGAGCTTTTTCTTCGGTGTGGGAGCAACTGTATTTCCTGCCCGGTATCCGCATCTCGTGCTGCAAAAGTGACCTACATTCCTCCTCCTCCTCCTCTTCTTCCTCCTCCATCCTCATGCTCCAGAGAGAAAAAGCATCTCTTCTAACCACCCCAAGAACCCCAAGATGCTGGAAGAGCCAACGTCTACCTTTGGAGCATGGTAACTATGGAAGGAAAACTCTTCTGGAGCAAGGAACCAGCCCGTGTCAAGATGAAGGATGCTACAGGGTTGAGATTTCCATGGAGGATACACTTGGGTCTTGGAGGAAGATGATGCCTTGCTCTCCAGATGTTGATGCTCTCCAGATGTGTGCCCAGGGATGCTGCCTCCCTCCAGAGCCCCCCTTGGAGATACCAGGGCAGCACCTTTGCCACTATTTCCCATTATTATTACACTCCCATGAGACACCCTGTGCTAGTTCTAAACCCCCAGAGCTGAGGCAGCAGCCCACAATTTGGCAAATCCCCCCAAACCTGCAGCATGTGCCCGGGCTCAGCATCTCGTACCCAGGGCTACGGAGCCCATGATACCCAGCCCCACGATTTAAAGCTGAAAAATGAGGTGCTACCACAAAGGGAACAGAGCTGAGCAGGCTGTGGGTGCTCATTCAGCCCACCCCAACCAGCCAGCACACCCCAAGTTTCTCCTCCTCCATCTCTGCCCCGTGCTCCGGGCAGATGTCTCAGCTCCTGCCCGAGATGCACAAAGCAGGGAGTTCCCATAAAATGGTATTTCCAAAGATCATCTGCATCATAGAATCATAGAATCATAGAATCGTCTAGGTTGGAAGAGCCCCTTGGGATCATCGAGTCCAACCATCTCCCCTACTCTACAAAGTCCTCCCCTACACCATGTCCCTCAGTGCCACATCTAAACAGCCCTTAAACACAGCCAGGGATGGGGACTCCCCCCCCTCCCTGGGCAGCCTGTTCCAATGCCCGACCCCTCTTTCGGTGAAAAATTCTTTCCTAATGTTCAATCTAAACCTCCCCTGTTGGAGCTTGAAGCCGTTCCCTCTCGTTCTGTCACTAATTACCTGTGAGAAGAGACCAGCACCAACCTCTCTACAGTGTCCTTTCACAAAGTTGTAGAGAGTGATGAGGTCTCCTCTCAGCCTCCTCTTCCTCATACTAAACAGTCCCAAAAAGTTTCCTCTTCCTTTCTACTTGTATTTACTTGGACAATAAACAACCAGACAGTTTGGTAGCTGGGGAGCATTCATGCTATGGACAGGCAACGAGCCAAGAGGATGCTACTCCTGAAATGGGAAGTTCTATAGCTACGGTGCCATCAGGACCCCCCAGCAACCACTGAGGGCAGTTTGGCAAAGACCAGTTGACAGAGTGGTGTGTCTGGCCGTGCCATGGGGAAGGGGTCCGAGCCGCGGCAGCCACTCACGTAGTTGTCTCGGGCAGACCAGCCGGGGTAGAGCTGCATGTGGAGCTGCCGTTCCTTGCGAGCCAGTTCGTAGTACTTGGCCTGCTCCTCCCGGGACAGCGCGTGCCACTGTGGGGACAAGCACAGTGGTGAGAGGTGGCCCTCACCGTCCCCTCCCAGCCCATCCCACCCCACCTGAATCCACGTGTTTAAGGGATAAGAGCAACCCAGGTTTGAAAGCAGACGCTTGTTACGCGCTGAAGAGCAGCACAAGGGATGGGGACGCTGGATGGGATGATGGTGCTGAGCCCCCCCGTGCTCTTACCCTCCTTCCCAAGATCTGGTTGATGGCAGCGCTCTCCTTCAGGGTGCATTCGGCGATGACTTTGGCCCTCATTTCTTTCATATACAACATGAAAGCGTTCAGGGGCTTCTTGATAGTGGGCTTCTTGGCTTCCTTCTCCCTCTTTGGTTCTGGTTGAGGTTTCCTTGGTGGGATGGAAAGAGGAGCTGTCAGCATCAGAGCCACCCTCCAGCCCGCCTGCCTGGTGGCACCAAGCTCAGCAGAAGACTCGATGCCAAACCCACCCCATGGCACAAGCTGGTGGGGGGGTTGAGATCATAGAAGCATGGAATGGTTTGAGTTGGAAGGGACCTTAAAGGTCATCCAGTTCCAACCCCCTGCCCTGGGCAGGGACACCTCCCACCAGCCCAGGTTGCTCCAAGCCCCCTCCAACCTGGCCTTGAACCCCTCCAGGGATGGGGCAGCCACAGCTTCTCTGGGCAACCTGTTCCAGAAAAATCTGCACTTGGGACACTGGGATCTGCACCAGACAGATCTCAGTGTTCATCCATCCTCCCCACCCAGGGAAGCGTTAAGAGGGAGAAATAAAACGGGCATGAAGGTTGCTCAGGCTGCTGAGGAGCCCTCCAGCACTTCCAACTTACATGTTTCGGTCATAGTGCTCCATCTCCTGCTTGCCAGAGTGGGGCACGATGGCGGGGTGCGGGATGCCGGTGGTGTGCATGCCAGAGCCCAGCATCAGCGGGTGAGTGAACCTGCAACACAGAGAGGATGAGCCGGGGGTGAGGATGATGAAGGTGACGGATGGTGGGGATGCAGTGCGTCTCAGGAGGTGGCACTCTGCGGTGGGGGGCTTGAGATTGTAGAAGCATGGAATGGTTAGAGTTGGAAGGGACCTTAAAGACCATCCAGTTCCAACCCCCCTGCCCTGGGCAGGGACAACTCCCACCAGCCCAGGTTGCTCCAAGCTCCCTCCAACCTGGCCTTGAACCCCTCCAGGGATGGGGCAGCCACAGCTTCTCTGGGCAACCTGTTCCAGAAAAATCTGCACTTGGGACACTGGGATCTGCACCAGACAGATCTCAGTGTTCATCCATCCTCCCCACCCAGGGAAGCGTTAAGAGGGAGAAATAAAACGGGCATGAAGGTTGCTCAGGCTGCTGAGGAGCCCTCCAGCACTTCCAACTTACATGTTTCGGTCATAGTGCTCCATCTCCTGCTTGCCAGAGTGGGGCACGATGGCGGGGTGCGGGATGCCGGTGGTGTGCATGCCAGAGCCCAGCATCAGCGGGTGAGTGAACCTGCAACACAGAGAGGATGAGCCGGGGGTGAGGATGATGAAGGTGACGGATGGTGGGGATGCAGTGCGTCTCAGGAGGTGGCACTCTGACGTGGCAGAAGCAGACGGGAAGCGGAGGACACGGAAAGCAAACCCCCTGGGTTGTCCCTGCCCCGATGGCAGCGGCACGGCCGGCTGAGACACCGGGTCTGGGCTTCCCATGGTGGGAAACCAGCCTGACTGAGATCCAAGGCTCTTCCAACCAGCAGTTCCAGCTACTCAGCTCCCTCTCGTTGCAACATCCTATTAGTGCTGCAGGAAGGAACAACAAACTCAACCCAAGGCTTTGGATGGGAGAGGTTAGGACCACCCCGCTCCTTTCTTTTTTAACAGAAATAGCCTAAATCTGAACATGAACCGAACTGCGACTCTAGGAGGTGCACCTCGCCTGAGCAATGTTCTCCACCAACACAGGACTGAGATCACCAGAGGTCTCGCTAGCTTTCAAGCTTCATTAGCTCTCTGGAGAATTTGGGAGGGCAAAGCCAGCGCCGTCAGCTCTGCCAAGCTTGCCACTTTACGACTGCAGCTTGAGATGGCAGAATTGCCCATGGGAGATGAACTCTTCATTAGATATGCTGGCACGAAAAGAAAAGCTGTTTAATTTAATCCACCGGCACGGCCTGATCCTTATCTGACCAGGTGTACTTTCTCAGCTGCAGCAGCCCTGCAAAAATCCACCCCAAAAAATCCTGCGAGCGGGAGCTCCCGTGCCGGCCTCGGGGAGGCTGATGGGGATCCATCAGCTCCTTTCTCACCTTGGAGGCTGGGCAAAGTGATGCCTTGATGCCTCCTGTAGCTGCAGGGCTACAGATGGAGGGGTGCATGGGTTGAGGTGTCTGCCCAGCTATGGGCTTGGAGGGGTAAGGGTTTGCACGGTTTTCCTGTGGGAAACCTCTGCTGAAGGCTCTTCAGGACAAGACAAAGCAGAAGCAAAAGCTGGTGCGTGAGCACACACAGCGGGACAGGCACAGAATGGGGTGGGTTGGAAGGGACCTCAATGAGCATCTTGTTCAAATGACCATCTCGCTGGAGCCAGGGGGGGCTTTGCCCCCCAAGATGCCCAAGAGGGCTGGGCTCTGCCTTTTCCATCCACAGGGGATGTATTTCCCTCACCGGGACATCACTGGGGTCTGGGTGTATTTACAGAGGGCAAGATTTGGTCCTGGGTGACCATAAACTTGTAGTATGAGTGGTCTGGGGCTGTGTTAATGTGCTTATGTCTTGGAGGGCTGAGCTGTGCCCGTGGGGGGACAGCAAGTAGCTGTGTCTATGGGGGGGACAGCAAGTACCTGTGCTGATGGAGGGACAGCAAGTACCTGTGCTGATGGAGGGACAGCAAGTAGCTGTGCTGATGGAGGGACAGCAAATAGCTGTGTCCATGGGGGACAGCAAGTAGCTGTGTCCATGGGGGGACAACAAGTAACTGTGTCCATGGGGGGACAGCAAGTACCTGCCCACTGCCCGTCCTGCTTGTAAGGCTCAGACCAAGTGGAACAGATGGGTCTCTGCAGAGCAAAACCACCCGACGGTGGTGGCCACAGGGATATATTCAGGATTAGGGTTAGTGACAAGGAGCAAAATCCTGAGGAACAGATTCCAGCCCCTTTTCCCAGTGCTGAGCCGATGGCAGTGATTTCTGACTTCATTTTGACTTCTGCTGATGAGAACCCAAGGGCTGTGCATCCCCCCTGAGGATGCTGGACATCCCCCTGAGCGCCCTTTGGACCAGACACTGCCTCAAAGCGCCTTCTCCTGCCACGGTGACCCCGGGGGAAGGTGGGTGGCCGTCCCTGGGTGGCCCTGACCTGCTGCAAGCTCCTGCTGCACGGACTGCAAGCTGCGAGACCAGCCGAGCTGCTGCCCTGTCTCACACAGCTCATACTCACCTGGAGAAAGAAGCCCCAGGAGAAAGCGCTGACGAGTACGGCTGTCTAAATCCACATGACGGGAGCGGATAGACAGACTGGCTCTGCCTGGGATCAGGAAGAAAGAGGCTATAAAGTATCCACAGCTACGGGGCATCTCCTAAAAATGGCATCTCCCCTTTGCTAAGGGGGCTCAGAGCACCGATGCCCCCCCCGCAGCTCTGCCTGGTGGTGTCCCCTGGGGCTGAGGGACTCGGGACTTTATTTTTGGGGGAAGCTGGGTCTCCCTGCAAAGGTTGGATCCGACTCTGACTCCCCCCGCTCCATCCCTGGTGCTGAGTAACACTGCAGCTTTGAGTTCATCCTGGTAAAACACAAAATGCCAGGGATGGGGAGGGATGGGGTGTGCTGAAAAATTAGGAGATGTCACTATTGCACAGAAAAAGTTGCTTAAAAGAGCACCGTTTGACCAAAAAACTAAAGCCTGGTCAGAGTCTCTCTCTGTGTGATGCACATGAAGCTGTGCAGTCATGGGCTGCACCAGGAGGATGCCCAAGCACAGGAATTTCCCAGTATCCGGAGAAAAAGCACCTCCTCTGCCCTCGTTTGGGCTCCAGAAAGGCTCTGGTTTCCTCAGCGCATCCCTAAAAAGATGCCCATCATTTTTAAACAAGCCAAAAAGCTCGGTCCTACGTTTCTTTTGAAAGTTATTTCATGCTGGGGAGCGGGCAGGTACCAGACTTGGAGCTGGAAATTAATTTTGAGATAGTAAAATAGCTATGCAGGAAGTTCCTCCTCGTTCCCAGCCAGGGAAAACCCCCCCTCGTTTTCATATGGAGATCGCTCAAAAATACCTCGGCTTCTTCTGCAAACCTGCCAAAAGATGCTAAAACTGTGCATGGAAACTGGGAAGCCCGAGGAGGACACGATGGGGTGCTTAAACTCGTGCAGATGCTCTTGCTCCTCCAGCCTAAGACCAGCACCAGCTAATTTCAGCTCTAATTAGCAAAAAAACAGCCCGTTATCATTCAGTGTGGTGCCCTGAGAAGGACCGAGCTCCTGAACACCAGGGATTTTTCAGGGCTGAAGCCAGTTTCTGCCCCGAAGAGGGATAAGGACAGTGCAGTCAGGCCCTGGAGCCAGGCTGGGGAGGAAGGAGGTTTGTGTTTCTGCCGCTCCGGGAGCTGCTGTGTCTCAGCTTGACCGAAATCTGCAGGATCTGTCTGTCGGAAAGGCGGGCGAGGCGGCGGGGCTGTTTACACCCTGCCAGGCAGGAGCCCTCTCCCACCCTTAGATGTCGGCGGGTATAAACACACCGACCCACAGCCAAGGGTGCTACCGCCGCGCCGGGAAACCGAAACGACCTTTGAAGTCGAAGGCGGCTGCCCCAGGGCCCAGAAAAGAGTGGGAGCTATTCCAGGAGCGACACGCGTTCCTGCAGAGCCTGAGATATGGGGCTGGAAAAGGAGCTGGGCACCGCCAGCTTCACCCCCAAGGGATGCTGAAACACCACGGCAAAACTCATCCCTGATGGTTGGGGACACACAGGTACAGCCCCCATCACCCAGGGTTGGAAAAAAGGGCAGGGGGCAGCCGTGGAGGGGCTGCCAGCGCTCAGCCCGGGGAGAGACACGGCTCGCAGGCTCCCCATGGTGTTTGCTGCCAGGCTCCCCTGAGCTAAACTCACTCGACTGGACTCTCAGAGGCTTTTATCCCACTGTCAGCCCAGCTAATTACAGAGAGAGCCGTGGCAGCTCCTCCTCCCGAAGCGCTCGGTGAGAACAAAGCCCGTTTCTGCCCAGCTCCTGCCTGTTGGCTCGTGGAGGAAAAGCTCACCTTCTTGTGCGTGGCTGCTCTGGCTTGGCAGCACCGGTGTGAGCATCCCTGACACCAGCATCCCTGGCTTGAGCATCCCTGACACGAGCATCCCCAGCACAAACATCCCTGACTCGAGAATCCCCGGCATGAGCATCCCTGACACAAGCATCCCCGGCACAAGCATCCTTGACACAAGCATCCCTGACTGGAGAATCCCTGGCGCAAGCATCCCTGACTGGAGAATCCCTGACACGAGCATCCCTGACTCAAGAATCCCTGGCACAAGCATCCCTGACACGAGCATCCCTGACACAAGCACCCCCAACACGAGCATCCCCTGCTGCCCACCGCCTCCAGCACAGGGTCAACGCTGCTGCTTCTGCACCCACGTGAGGACTGGGCACTTCAGGAGAGGTTTTAGGGCTTTTTCTGTAAATTTTGGATGAGGAAAAGCTCTACTAGACACACACGCTTTCAGGGGCTGCTCTCTGCTCCATCAGACGGTTTGTTGCTCTACTGTATCTGCTCTATTAGTCACTAATGAAGGTGTCTGATGAGGTTGCTTGAGGATGCTGAGCCCCATAGATGCTGGAGCAGCTCTCAGCAACCCAACTCCCCCTGTCACCCACCGACAGACAAAACCTCTGTGCAAACCACACTTCTATTCCCTCTGCATCCCACCCCCCCCAAGAATGGACCTTGCACTCAGCAAACAGGCTCCTTTCTCACCCCCCAACTATTTCTTTCATGTTACAGCACAGTCACCCCAGTACTTGTTTTTCCTGAGGATGAATCACATCACATGAGGAGTTAAACCATCGCCCAAGAGTAGCAAATTTAGCACAGGAGGCAAAATGTAATCTCTTTGAAGCCAAACTCTGTATCAAAGGCCCCAGCCCCTGCTTCCTTGTGGTTAAATATCTGGAACATGAAATTCATAAACACAACAAAAAGCTACCGTTTTACTTTGTGTCTTAATCTGCTTTGCCTCTCCCAATTTTTGCAGCATGGCTTGGAGGTCTCTGCTGGGCTTTGCAGGGGTTTTACCACCCGGCACCAGGGAGGATCTGGCCGCCTTCCCCTGCCAGCGTGGTCCTCACACTGTCCCCGTGTCCCGGCCACCCTGACCCCCTGCCTGCAGCCACCAGCCTCCCCGGGAGCCTCCAAAAGGTCCCTGTGTCACCGACCGGGATTAAAAATTAATCTGAAGAGTGATGGTGCCCACACGGCACCGCTGCCTTGGTGTCCTCACGGTCGCGGTGACAGCAGCCGGTGGCGATGACCACAGAGCACAGACCAGGGTGTCTTTAACTCCTGGCCCCAGGGCAGGTTTCCCAACAGGCTCCGCTTTCTGGGATGCTCCTCAGGGCTGGCTCATGCAGGAAGGACTTTTTGGGAGCGCTCCAGCTCACGGTCCATCCTTCCCTGTCCCCCCCCGGGGGCAGAGGGTGCCACTGATTTGGTTGTGCCACGGCCAGGCTGTGGGTACCGGGGTCGTTCACTGGGCAGGACTCTGCCACCATGTAATTATCCCTGGGTGTCAGACCCCAAGAAGCACCACATCCCAGAGGATGGAGCATCCCATTAAGATTATGCACACTCAGGGAAAGTGCTGTTTGCGCTGCAAACCCCAGCGAGGGAGAAAATTAGCTCCTGCTCAAAAAGAGAGGCTTTTCTTGTGATTAGGAGAGGAGAGTAGGATGCTCTTCCTACAGGAAGCAGGCAGTTTTGAACTGGGCAGGTTGTAACCCCGCTCCAGGGATGCCCCAGCTGGGACAAAGCCCCTCTGAAGATTTCCTCCCCATCCCTGGGCTAAATCCTCCTCCCCATCACACAGCACGCGGGAAGGACGAAGCTGGATCATGGAGGTTACGGAGAACGGCGGTTTGTTCTATGGACCGTGCCCCGCTGGTGGGCTGGGGGCTACGTGGGGCTGAGCCCTCCACACTCACCATCCCATCGACGGCGTGATCTGTCCGACTCCACCGGGGGGGAGGGGGTAGAAACCAGGGATGTCTGAGGTCTGGGAAGGACGGTGCACTCCTGGGAGAAAGAAGAAGGAGATGAGTTGGACCCCAACCTCTCTCCACTCCTCCCACCCCAGCTGCTCCATCGATGGGCACTTGTGGGCAGCAGGAGATATCCATGAAGGAGCTGTCTGCAAGCAGCAGGGGATTTTAATTGCCCTTTTTATTGCTGTGGTTCTCTCTGTGGGGATGTGGTGGCTCATCCACGTTGTTTCAGAATCCCAAATGCTCGTGTACTCTTGTTTGCTCCTGCACAAGCATCATCCCTGCTCCGTGCCACCCCTGGGGCCAAGCAGCAACTTGCTTTGGGAAGGATTTGTTGGACTCTGGGCATCCCTCTGCCCCGTTCAGGTGCACAACTGATGGTCCAAGCCCCCCTCTTCCCATCAGTCACCCCCAGGACCCCCCAGGAGTGGCCGGTGGGTATGCTCCAGCTGGCACCACGTCTACCTCCATTTGAAACAATTTGAGTCCCCGTTCAAAGCGATGGTTTTGCGGGCTCTGTGGGTGCCAGGGAACGGTGGAGGTGGGTAAGGTGCCAGCTGGGAATTCACCCTGAGCACGGGGAATCCCTGCACGAGCTTCAAAGCCTCTGGCACGGGCGGCACGGCCAGAGGAGACAGCCACAGCATCTCCCTGCTTCTACCAGGACTTGAAAACAGCCCCGCGGAGCCCTGGGGCTGCGGGTGGGACTCAGACAACCACGGTGCTGCCAGCAACAGCAGCCTCCGGCTGACCCCCCGACTGGAAAAATTGAGGGGGGAGGAAATGAGGTTGAGATCCGTCGCAGCATGGTGTAATGCTGACTGCTACCCAGCCCCAGACAAAAAAATCACCTACAGAGATTGTCCAGCAGCTGCCCCGGGCAATAAACCCATTGGGTAAATTGGTGATTGGTTGCAAGCAGTTTGCAAACTCTGGATAACTCTCCTAGGTGGGATGAACTGGGAATGACACCAACAGATTCCAAGGGTCTTGCTAGGAATTAGCTAAAATACAACTCTAACTAAACTAAAGGGGATACAGAACTCAAGTGTGAGATTGGCCTCCAGCTGTGCTGAGGTGGGACACAGCAGCCTTCCCGAAGGTCAAACCAAACCAGCACCTGTGTGGGGCAGCTGCCAGGATCTCCTGAGCTTTGGACCTCCAACAACACGGGTTGCGAAAGCCCAAGCACAAGTTCTTCTCGCTGGCCTGGTGGTTGGGGCACCAGCCACTGACTCAGAAGATCCTGCTTGTATTTCCTCGTCTGCGTGTCCTTGGGCTACCCAGAAACACTTGAAAGGGATGCTGTGAGAATGAGGACGGCACTGACTCTCAGGCGCTTACGCTCGGTGATAATGGGAGATATTTTGGTGATGAAAACAGAGATGGGACACATCCAGAAGGAATGGGGAAGGAAATCCTGGCTCCAGCAGCAGGGATGGGGCGTGCAGAGCTCATCTCGGCTGCCCCACGGAGGCAGGTCCCAGATGAGGATGATGGTCTGAAACCTTCACAAAGAGGATCTGGGGGGGTTTCTGGGATGGACAGACTCCCCCTGCCTCCGACTTACAGGCTACATGGGAAGGGGCAGACTGGGAATTGCTGGCACAGAGGATGTGCAGCCAGGGGATGGCTTCCCAGTATCACCAGCCCACCGCACAGATGGATGCATGGGGACTACTCCAGTGCCAACCGTGGCCTCCACGCAGGGATATAACCAGCTCATCCCTTGGGTGAGCTGCTCCTGCATTGCTTAAGGCTTTCCAGGCTCACGCTGAGACCCTGGAGGCACCTCAGGAGGGGCTTTGTGCTCCAAAAGGCATCTGCAAAGGCAGTGTGGAGAAAGGTGCGTCCGGTCGCCTTCACAGGGGACACAGAAATCTGCAGGTTTCCTCTGGAGATTCGGAAATCTGCCATTAGCTGAGCTTTTAAGAGGTTTATTTCGTTAACTCTTCATATTTTTCTGCTGAGTTTCTCATGCTCTGGTGGCTGCCAAGCAATGTGCTGGCTGGAAGAAAACCAGGATGTGCCTGGGTATCTCTTACACCGGACCTAAGACCTCTCCATCAGCGTCCCTGTCAGCAGAACGTGGCCTCCGGGTTCAGAGCAGGGATAATTCAGCAGGTGTCCAGCCAAGAGCATCCTCAATACCCCATGGTTTTAGCAATGATGTTGACTTGGCGAAGCTGATGTCTCTGGGGCAGTTTGGATCACTCTTGGGTGGAGTTTGGATCACTCTTGGGTGGAGGCCTTTGCCCAAATCACCCCCGTTGATTTTGTGCCTCTGTTTTTGCGCTGATTTCTCAGCTCTGATGGACCCCAAATCCCTTCCCAAATGTGCTGTGACACAAAACTCTCCATTTGCTCACTTTTACATTGAAATCAAGACCAGGTTTGAGCAGAGGCCTGGGTGATCTGGGCAGACGTTCAAAGATCCCATTGTGCTAACGGAAGGTTGAGAAAAGTTTGATTTTACACTCCTCTTGCCAGTAACCCAGAAGAACGATGGGCTGGGGTGAATTCCTGTGCACCTACCTATATTTTACAGCTCAGGGCTTAACCTCTACCTACCGTACTTTCCTCCGTAGCCTCATGAGCTAATTGACGTGTCCTGGACTCACACAGGAACCCAAAGAGCCAAAGTGTGTGGCAACCACACAACGTGTGGCTACGGACACACACACATAACAATCCAGTTAGCTGTCAGACCCCGATCCTGTTTAGTCAAAATATTTCCTGTTTCAAGCATTTATTTTCTCAAAATGACAACCTGACAACAGTTTGGGTATGAGTCAAAGGAAAGATTACTTTCCATTTTCTGGTTGACTCTTACGCATCACCTCGGGTCTGGTCTCAAGCTCCAGGACAGCTTGTAGAGAGAACCAAGCACCCTTCATCAGCGGGGTTGGCACTTTCGATATCGAACTCCTCTCAACCAGGATTACAAAGCATCGCCCATAAGCTAAATAAACTCCCACTGCTCAGCAACGCCCCGGTTGACCAAAGCTGTTGACTCTTCCCATGGATTTGGGACCAGCCTTGACCTCAGTGGTCTCCACCACCATCCCCATCCCACCACGCCGATCCCCCGGCGGTGCCATTACCTTGTTTCTGGTTGATGTCGGCGGGCAAGTGGGGCGAGTGGGAGCCATGGCTGAAATGGTCGTTGCTGTAGGGGATAAGCGGGGTGAGGGGGTGGACTCCGTGGGACGGCTGCACGACAGGAACTTTGTTGGACTGCAAGAGACAAGGAGGGAGAGGGCTCAGATGGCATCGGGATCCGTGAACAAGGAGGGACGGTGCCCTTTGCAAGTCCCATCATTGCAAGCGAGGCTGGGAATTACTAAAAATCCCCTGTGACTCTCAAGGGCAAGGCAGAAAATGCCCTTATCTACTTAAATAAACACTACAGCATCCTGCAAGAAAAATCCATCAACCAAGCAAGTGACAACAGCCAACGTCGACTGCAGGGGTGGGTGGAAAACAGCCCAGATCAACGTGACGGTTTCAAAATTCAGAAGAAAATTTTTTCATTCATTTCCAGCACCTTTTATTCCAAGATGAATGCTACAAGCGTCTTACCCAAGGCACCGCTCTTGTTTTCTGCCGTTTTTTTTTTTCTACCACAGGGTCTAAATCTGGACTTTCACATCCTGCACATTCACTCCGAAAGCCACGCTCGGGCTTTCCTGCCCCCGGGCTCTCGAGCAGGGAGAGCCATGGTGACAGCAAGGCCTTTGAGAACATGACGTGGCCACCAGCGAGCCCTTGGGCTGAAATCCCTCTTGGTCCCAACTCCAGCGCTGGGAGAAGGACCAGAAGGAGCGGAGACAGTGCTGGGGATGTGACAAACCCAGGAAAATTGAGCAAAGAAAAGCATCTCCTCTTGCATCTCCTCCTGGTTACGAGGAGGCCGTCGGAGCCCAACATCTTTGTAAAAGGCGCCTTTTTTTTGGTGAAGGAGCAGGGAGTAGTTGTGCGTGTTGGAGCAGAGAGAGGGGAAACTGTTCAAAAGAGCTGCACTAAGGAAAACACACACACACACACACACACAAACACACGCTGCCGTCTCCCTCCCGCCAGCTCCTCGCCTCCAGCGTCTCGAGCTGCTCCCTACATGCCCGGTTTCGCCCATGGTTGCCTTTAAACCCAAACTGACTTTGCCTTGGTGGTTGGAATGTTAGGATTTATCCCAGATGAATCCAGAAAGAGGAACAGGCCTGAGAGCACCCCAAAATGGGGAGATAAGGAGAACGGAGCAGGTAAAGCAGCCCCCCAGGGGCTAGGAGCTGGGAATTGCTAGCCAGACCTCTTGTGTCCCACCAGAACATCTACAGATGATTTGCTGCTGGACTTTTGACAAGTCATTTACCGTCTCTGGACTTGATTCACTGGTGCCTTCCACTTTGGTCATGGTTTTGCTCAGGCAGAGTGAGCACAAAACACCAGTGGGGTTTGGTGGAGGTGGCGCAGCCGGAGCCGATGGCTCTGGAGAACCTGTCCTGGACCTGTCCTGGACCTGTCCCTGCTGCTCCGAGCTGCATCCACGGATGCCCGAGAGGCTCTGGGGCAAGTCCTGTGTTTTGCATCCCTGCTCCCAGGAGGAAACCCACGAAGCGGAAAGGAAAACAGCCTGATGGAGACGCCGCTTTACATCTGCCTTTCCCACAAAGATTTGCTCATGCAAATAAAAGCCAGGAGGCACGCAGGTTTGCATCTAAGAATGAACGAAACCCCAAATTCCTGACTCCTACCAGGTGTGGATTTACTGCGTGCAGCGGGATACTGGTAACACAACCCCCCTCCCCAGCACAGACTGGTGTGGTACCGGCGTTCCAGTTGGGAGCGGTGCTGGGCTGGCTCCCACTTAGTTAAACACACGTTGGGAGCGCTGAGCTTCTACTATTCTTGCCCATGAAATGAGATGAAGAATAGCTTTTCAGCAATATTTCTAAAATTAGCTACAGTTTAGCTTATTTCAGAGCCAGAAAGCCTAAATCTGGGATGCGCAGTTCTATGGGTACGTTTGAACGCGACACCGGGGCAGAAGGAGCTCGATCCTGAGCTGTTTTGAAAACGTCAACTCCAGCATTTCTGCTGTTCAAGGTGGGGCAGGTCTCTCCTTCCCTCGCCCAAAGCACAGCAGCAGCCACCAGCCAGCCTTAGAGACCACCAGCCAGCCTTAGGGATCACCAGCCAGCCTTAGGGATCACCAGCCAGCCTTAGGGATCACCAGCCAGCCTTAGGGATCACCAGCCAGCCTTAGGGATCACCAGCCAGCCTTAGGGATCACCAGCCAGCCTTAGGGATCACCAGCCAGCCTTAGGGATCACCAGCCAGCCTTAGGGATCACCAGCCAGCCTTAGGGATCACCAGCCAGCCTTAGGGATCACCAGCCAGCCTTAGGGATCACCAGCCAGCCTTAGGGATCACCAGCCAGCCTTAGGGATCACCAGCCAGCCTTAGGGATCACCAGCCAGCCTTAGGGATCACCAGCCAGCCTTAGGGATCACCAGCCAGCCTTAGGGATCACCAGCCAGCCTTAGGGATCACCAGCCAGCCTTAGGGATCACCAGCCAGCCTTAGGGATCACCAGCCAGCCTTAGGGATCACCAGCCAGCCTTAGGGATCACCAGCCAGCCTTAGGGATCACCAGCCAGCCTTAGGGATCACCAGCCAGCCTTAGGGATCACCAGCCAGCCTTAGGGATCACCAGCCAGCCTTAGGGATCACCAGCCAGCCTTAGGGATCACCAGCCAGCCTTAGAGGCCACCAGCCAGCCTTAGAGACTACCACCCAGCCTCGCTGCCCGGCAGCTGGGGACACCACTCGGAGCCGTGACAGAGGACACAGACCATGACAAAGGCAGGTGAACAGTCCTGATGCCAATCCCCAGGACACCTCAACAGCAAAAGGCACTGAGCCCGGGTGGTTCCAGCAAAGGCAGGAGCTGCTCTTCTTCCCCATGGAAGCAGGAGATGGGAACTTGGTGGTACAACCGGCTGCAGCTCAGTTGTTCACATTTTCCATCAGTTCAGATGGGAAACAAGATGTTACACCAGGAAGAAGAGCTGGCTGTTCCCGTGTCCCTTCTACTTTTGCACTTGCCTTGCTGAAAAACTTCCCTCCTACTTTTTAAAGTCATAGAATCATACAATGGTTTGGGTTGGAAGGGACCTTAAAGATCATCACGTTCCACCCCCCTGCCCTGGGCACGGACACCTCTCACCAGACCAGGTCCAACTTGCCCTTGAACCCCTCCAGGGATGGGGCAGCCCCAGCTTCAGAAAGATGTGGTGGGGAAGGATGCTCAGGAGGGAGGGATGACAAAAATTTCTGCAAGAGGCTATTCATTCCCCTCCCGCTTCCCCAACCTGAGAGTTTGTTACAGGAACCCATGTCCCAAATGGAACCAACCAAGGGAAGAAGGAAACGTTGCACAAAGATCTGGAGAGAAACAGAGACGACTCCTTTAAGTGTTATCCCCTGGTTTAAACAGCACAGCTCCTAATGTCTGTGGTCCATGGCCATCTCCATGGCTCCTGGTCTTCACCAGACGTGCTGTGGCTGCCACACACATCTTTGCTGTGAAATCATACCTCCTTTATAGAAATCTCTGTGCCAGAGAAACAGTACCGATTCCTCTTTTTTACAAGGTTTAGATTTGACTTCTGAAATCAGCTGCAGCGGGTGAACCCTGAAGAGGCTTTTCAAAGCCAGAACCTATCAGCTGACAAGGTCTTATGCCATAAAATTAACCCGACGTAAATGTTTTCTGCCTGTTTTCTGCCGAGTGGAATGATTTAACCCAAGGGTCTGGTGTCCTCTCAGCAGGTCCCCTGGGAGGGTGCGGGGTGGTGCTGGTGGGGACATCACGGGGACCTTCTGTGGTTTTGGTGAAGCATCATCCTGCGTCTCCTCCCCGAAGCCCTGTTTTGAGACAGCTCAGGGCAGCAGCGACAGAGCTACTGGCCACCGAAATAACGCCACTGGTGCCAACCCCGAGTCCCCCCAGGTCACCTCCCGTCCTTCAGCAGCCACGGGGGGGACACGAAAGGGCTCTGGGGACAGCTTTCTCTCTCCTCTCCCAGCACAGCCCTTTGAGGGCAGGTCGGGGAATGAGCTGTGCAGCCCCCACCTCGTACAGAAATGAAAAGGCGCATTTACAGCAACACCAGAGCGGTATTTCCAGAGGGGATGGAGCGGCAGATCGGGGTTCGAAAGCCCTGGGAGGAGGGGAGGGGGGCTTTTTTCCCTTCTCAAATTTGCTAAATTCAAATTCTAAATGCCCACCTCCCCAGCGAGCGGTGGCCACTCAGGTCCCCCCAACCCTTGGGCTGCAGTTGATGCCGCTCGGCGCCAGGGCAGGCACCGACCCCCCAGTGGCATTAATCAGCCCCCACCAACCTCTCTGAAAATAATTAATAAAAAAAAAACCCCGACTGTGAGGGAAGAAGCTCCCACGCTGAAGCCAAGAAGCAGCGACTTTAATAACTTAGAGGTAATTGGGCGAGCGAAGAGAAAACACCGTCGCGTTCGTGATTAAGAAAGACTAATTGTTGGCAAGGCAAAAATTAGGAGACCTCACCGCTCCCCGCCTGGGTGTCTGATTGTGACAGCAGCTCCAGGCCAGCCAGAAAACCCCCTTTTTGCTGAGCAAGCACAAACCTGGCAGGTCTTTCACGGGAGGATCACCCTCCTGGTTGGAGGAGCTGCAATGAGACTCATCTCCCAGTTGCCCCATCAGGGCAGAGCATCCTTTGCTCCCACCCCTCGTGCCCAGCAAGGGGTTATCCAAGTTTGCCAGCGTTCAGAACGATGAAGGAGGTTATTATTTTAAACAAAATACGGGTTTTTCATTAGAAAACGGCGAGAGATCGCAATCAAACCCTTTCGGGAAAGCACCTCGTGTTTGCAAGTATTTTGACTCATTTTTTTAAGACTGATCTATTTATTCGTAACATGCTAAAAATGAGTAGTTTTGCCGTGCCGGTTTGACAGAGGATTCTTCTTTTAAACCCTAAAGCTAATCTTAGCAAAATGTAGCACGGACGGTCAAAAGTCAAAATTTGAGTGAAACGATCAAACCCCAAAATTTTCCCCGGCTGGCAAAACCCTTTGGGTTTTTAGCTCTGTGAAAATATTGGAAAAAATTGTAAAGAATTTTTTTTTTTTCGGCTTGGACCAGTTTAGGAAAAGAAACAAATGAAAAAAAACCCAAGAGAAGGGAATGTATT